CTATTCTTACAGACTGCACAGCAGACACATTTTCTCTTTATAACTTTGCCTGATGTATTTAGCAGGCATCATTACTAAGCATCAGCTAAGATTACTCTAACTTTGGGTTTGACCCAAAAGAAAAGGTCAGTTTTTATTTCACTCAGATTCAGTCGTTGTGTAGCTGTTACCTGAGAAGGTCTCGCAAAAGAACTTTGGTGCTGATGAGTGCAGGACAACCCTGGGTCTCAGCTAAACAGCAGCTTAAAGAGATAGTTCAGCCAAAAATGAAAATGTATTCACCCTCAAGTTGTTCCAAACCTGGGACTTTCTGTCTTCTGCAGAACACTGAAGAAGTTATTTTGAAGAACCTTAGTAACCAAACAGTTTTTGTCAGCATTGACTTGCATTGGCCCCAAAAAAAAGACATCTTCTTTTGTGTTCCACAGAAGAAAGAAATTTCCTATTCATAAGATTGCATTTAATTTGTTTTCTTTCTTTCCTTACCTTTTTATTATTATTATTATTTATTTATTTTTGGTGGTCAAAAAATTATTTTTTTTCAGAATCTATGATTGTCATATAAGTTAGAACTCTATTGGATCTTTTATGTTTTCCAGATAATAATCATTTCAGAATTAAGAAATTATATCAAACAAAACAAGCTTTTTAATGATAATACTTGATTTAATGGCCTGTAAAATATACCGTGCAGCATGCCATTCTGGGAAATCGTGCTTGAAAACAAAATTAAAATCACAGAGTCTTATGGCATTCTTCATACATTTGCAATAGGAAATCACAATCTTACTTGCCCTCCATAATATCATAGCAGTGATAAGTAACTCATATAAAAAGAACAGCTTTGCCACTATTTCAAAGCACCTTCTACTGTTTGGTCTAATAAAAAAAATCTACTTTTAGATGTAAAAATATATATTTATATTTTCAAATAAATAAATACATACAATAAATATGTGTATCAAGAACTGTATAAATAGCATCATGTGAGATGGCATCTCCTGTTCTCCACCGTCCCAGTTCTGTCATCTCTGAGCATCATGTACGCATTGTTCCTTCAAGTCCTTCTAAACCCATATCAAATATTTCCAGAGCAAAGCAGCACCATGTTTAAAACCTCCAAACCCCTCAGTTTTGGTTTTTATGGACATGTTATGCTACTAGTCAGTTACAACCAGCAACAAAGACATCAACTGCACCAATGTAGGGAGTCTTTAGAGACTGTTGTCTTCACCGTTAGTACTGGCCCGTGCATTTCCAGAGCACACCTCAGGTTTAGACACTTTAGCCGAACTTTAGCATCTCCACGTCATGTAGAGAAGAAACTAGGCATCCCTCTCGCCCTTTAACTGGGACAGATGGTCTCAGCTGTGTCCAAGAACTTCTTTGTAAAGTTCACATTGTTCCTTCAAGTCCTTCTAAACCCATATCAAATATTTCCAGAGCAAAGCAGCACCATGTTTAAAACCTCCAAACCCCTCAGTTTTGGTTTTATGGACATGTTATGCTACTAGTCAGTTACAACCAGCAACAAAGACATCAACTGCACCAATGTAGGGAGTCTTTAGAGACTGTTGTCTTCACCGTTAGTACTGGCCCGTGCATTTCCAGAGCACACCTCAGGTTTAGACACTTTAGCCGAACTTTAGCATCTCCACGTCATGTAGAGAAGAAACTAGGCATCCCTCTCGCCCTTTAACTGGGACAGATGGTCTCAGCTGTGTCCAAGAACTTCTTTGTAAAGTTCTGGAACTTTTTCAGGGTCCACTGGTCTTGGAAGAAAGTGAGTGAACTTTTGATGTCTCCTAGATTTTGTCCCATCACGTGGCGTGCCGTCCTTGTTGAGAGCCACGAAATATCTCGCTCCTCTCTCTCCATGCTTGTAGAGATTAGAAGAGTATGTGTTGTACCAGTTCTCCTCAAACTGCTCACGGAAGACACATTCTGCTGTGAGTTTCTCCTAAGAAACAAAAAACATGTTAGTGAAATAATTCAAGCATAATTAATAACACAGAGAGAGGTGGTCAAAATGATAAAACATATATGCCATCTACTGGGCTTGAATAAGAACAACAATCATGCAGGATACTTTTTGAATTGGGTGAATTCTTAAAAAGTCAAAACTCTGCTTACAGAGCCATAAAGTTCTCCCTTGTCATTCATCCCAAGGTAGAGACCACTGTCCACTCCACGGATGCTTATTAATCCAACTGCAAGGCTTATGAATTCCAAAATACCTGGAGAAGAATAAATCAATTGTTCAGGAGATGTTCTTTGAAGTCTGAACCCTCATCACACATTGCGAGAAAGTTGAAATGCAATGCATATTCCATCTGCATAGACTATTATAAAGTTAAAATAAATATAATTTAAAACAAAAATTCTTTAGTAGGCCTAGTTCTTACACTATTTTCTGTAAATACTTCTGCTGTTCTTTGGAGTTGGTTGTTTATTTATATTTACAAATTTAAAAAAGTAATTGTTATTACATTTGACCTTTTTCATATCAAGCTATTTAATTTGTGGGTTATTTAAAAGTGACCAGAACAACTTTAAGTTGACCTATACGAACTATAAAAACGGGAGAACCCATATTTTTAAAAGCGCACGGTCAAAGTGGGTACATATTATGATTCATATTCTGTGTAAACAAACCAATCATGCTGAAAAGAAAGTAGGAAATTACCAAAACGACTGTGGTCCTTTCTCGTGCCCTGCACGATGCCGTCCGGGAGTATTTCAAGGTGAAATCCAGTCCTGCAGTACAACTGTCTTCTCCGCAGGATCCCTTTCAAGTGCGTTAGATCTGCGGAGGTGCTCCGTGACAGTCTCTCTGCTGGAACTAAATGATCATTCAACAGCCCGAGGTTTTCTCCTAGAGGTGGTAGGAAGAACTGTGATCCGACCTGTCCGAAACCCTCCAGGCTCTGTAAAAGCGTCCCGATCTCTCCCATAGCTGCCATCACAAACCGCCAGTCCAGCAGGAGCGGTCAGAGAAACTTGATCTGGATGTATATGGTGAAGCAATCGTCCAAAGCTATACGTTACGACGAATAATATCCATGCGAGCAAGTCACTTGTAGTGGATCCATGCTGAGCGCATATGAAATATCACTTGACTCCTGTAGATTAGGTATTCAGACATATTCAGTGGGCAAGAAACGTAGTCACTGCAAACAACTGACTCCAGACAAGTCCTTTAATTTCTGCTCTTATGCCTCGTCCACATGGTGGCCGGTGGTGCTTTCTGACATGAATAACTGTGGAGCAGGTATGAGGCAGCAGGTATGTGTTGTTGTGGGAAGTGCTTTGCGCACTGAGTGGCTGCTGTGCGCGCGGGGCAGGTGCAGAGATCGGGCTTCTGTGGGCGGGACATCGGTTTGGTCCAGCCTTGAGTTTTTGCGCACAATCTCAGTTGTGTGTTTTAGTTGATGTCTATGTTTGTGTTGGTTAGGTTTTGTATAGGCTACATCTCACAAGCAAAGTACAAATTAAACCCACCTACATTATGGGGAGCAGGAGGAAAACAACTTAAACATTCTGAATAATTGTGTAGAAATTGTGGTGAAGAATTGTGGTAGAAGATCTTTCCAAAAAAAAAAAAAAAAAATATATATATAGATAGATAGAGAGATAGAGAGATGGATAGATAGATAGATAGATTGATGGATGGATGGATGTGTGTGTATACACACACACACACACAGACACACACAGGTTTGTTTTTATGGTTTATGGGGACTCTCCATAGGCGTAATGGTTTTTATACTGTACAAACCGTATTTTCTATTGCCCTACACCAACCCTACCCCTAAACCTACCCCTCACAGGAAACTTTCTGCATTTTTAGATTTTCAAAAAAACTCATTCTGAATTATTTATAAGCCTTTTGAATTACGGGGACACTGAAAATGTCCTTATAAATAACCTTCTCGTTGTAATACCTATGTCATACCCATGTTATTATACAAATTTGTGTCCTCATAAACCACATAAACATGCACACACACACACACACACTACAGAAAACAGACAATATCTGTATGTACAGGTATGTTTTATACAAATGCAGTGTATCTATCTATCTATCTATCTATCTATCTATCTATCTATCTATCTATCTATCTATCTATCTATCTATCTATCTATCTATCTATCTATCTCTATAGAGAGAGAGATAGTATATAAGTAGTATATATATAAAGGTATATACTACTTATTACATATTTATTTCACTATAAATTCATAAAAAAATATGTTATAATATATAGTTATTTTACTGTAGTAACTACAGTGTTGTTATTAGGGTATAAATAATGCAATGTACTTCTGAACCTATACAAATATTTGCAGTGGACTGTGAATAGACAACATTTGACACATTCACAAACACTATTTTTATAGGTTGTATGAGTTTTTAATGTTTTTAGAGTTGTTAACACATTTTGCGTTTCTACATTTGTTCTACAATTTATTTACTGCTAATTTATTTGTTTACCATTTTCAATACAAATGGGTAGTAATGATGGGCAATGGCATAATGTTGAATTTGCCCTTGACAATAATTAGTACATTTTTTTAGTTATAGATTTCTATATTTAATTTGTAGACAAATATGGGAATATTATATACAAATCTGAGACATATGGACACACACACACACACAAACAAACAAAACACTTAGTTATAGTTGCTGAAAGAAAATCTACTGCTACAGCAAACCCAAACTGTCCTGTAGTATTTCAGCTGAAACTGTTTACCAACTTAAAGAGTGTAAAAGAAACCCACAAAAAAATTAAAGAAAGAACCACTTTTTGATGGAGGTCTTTTCCAAACGTTAAAACATAACATGTTTAGGTCTGAGGGCTTTAACTATGACTTCTAACTATGACCTGAATAGAAAGGACAGATGACTGCAAATACAGCTGCTAATGTGTTGATGCACCATGTGCTGCTGTAGCGAGGTCACATATTTCATCTCGCGATGAGTGAGCGCGGTCTGCCGCGGTGACACAGTCATGATGGCCGCCGTGCGTCGGTTTCTGGCTCTTCGAAACAAGTTCACCAGCTCTTCAAACGGTTTAAGCCTTTACTTTAATAGCAGACAGTCATGGAGGGAAAGAGCAGTTCTGAGGCGTGTAGGGACAGGACTGTGTATCACTGTCGGTGGATTCGCTGTTGTTTACTACCAGCCCAATGCGAGTCTGCGTGCATTGTTTTCTCCGTTGCCAGCAGTGGCTGCAAAAGAGAAGGTATCTAAATCTTAGTTGGCTACATTTTGAAATGTTTACGTTTGTATTTATACTGAATATTTCTATAGCATCCCAGTTTTTTATTATTCTAAAAAGCGTAAAATCGGTGAAGTTCATGTGGCATCAAAACTGTCGCTCTCCACTAGAGAGGTGCTGAATTCGGTTTCCCAATTCATTAGTCAGGTGATACACTGTGATTCTATAAAATATACATATTAAAGAGATATTGGAACAAATATTATAGGTGTTGTACATATTGTACATTTTATAGATATATTCTGCATGCTATTATTGACTTATACTCTGAAAGTAAGCATTTTAATTCAGTCAACAACCATTTCTCCTGTATTGTCAAAATCTCTTGCCAGTCAGATTTGTTGGTTTACATTAGTACATCAGTATTTTGATCTACATTGGTGTTTCCTAAACTACGATATTTTTCTTAGACTCATATTGTGAGAGAGTAATGTTATTAGGCCTATTAGGCCTTTTAAAGTCACTTTTTTTTGACAAAAAATAACAAATATTACGGGAGAAAAAAAATGATATTCTGCTACAAGGGTCATCCGCACATATGTATGTCTTATAACACGCATTATTTAGTTTTTTCCTTAAAAATGTGCTATTTAATCATTAATTATTAATTATTCTATTTTATAGGTTTAACAATGCAAAAGAAACCTCTGGATTATGTTTAAGTCCCTCTGGTACACATACTCTTGGTTTTGACTGTTGTCGAAAATGCATTTATCAGACTGTTATCAGATTGATCATTAAACCACACAGGATTGAATCAGTCTTGTGTGACTCTGTCCGCACTGTTCCCTTTTGTTTTTGTACTCTTATCTGCTTGGGTCAGACGTAACCTTGAGTTGTGGATTGAGACGCAGGAATCCAGGGTTGAGGTAACTGGACACGGCAGCTTGGCAGCCGGGTCGACGTTTGATGAGGGTAATAAGTAGCAGGGCACACATTCCCAGGGTGTTTGCACAGTGCCCAGTGGGCCTGGCTGCCGGCCACTGTAGAGTGAGAAGAACACTGTCCTCTTGATATTTCTGCTTGTGGATGTTTGTGTGCATGTGTGTTTTTTTTTTTTTGTACAGGAGGAGGCCGTCCACTGAAAGAAGGAAAAAGAAGATGGCTAGCACTTTCTCCAATGTCACACCTGTCTTATCCTGTATTTCTACGTCCTCTAATTGAGATGTGAATTTGCTTAATTATAGGCCAGTGCATCTGCTGAAGATGAAGAGGTTTCGATGTCGGCCCATGAGCACAGGTTCAGGCTCTTCAGTTCACTGGAGTATGATGGACAGCTTTATATGACTCCCCTCGACTTCATTGAGTCCGTCACAATGAGCGAACCAAAGAGTGAGTTACACAAACAGTTAATAATCCTTCTTAGAACTCATTATATGATTGTGTTACTATAGGCTACCACTTGAAGCTCTCAGAATCCTAGTGGCTGACAAATAGCAAGTAATACTGACTGAGATAAATAATTGGCCCTTCGTGGGGAGTTTGTCATCTGACCAATAACGCAGAATCTGCCATTTTTGTCTGGCAAACAAACCAGACAGTAGAGTATATTAACGCCGGTGCGTGAACTTGAAAAATGATGTACTGACGTCTTTAAGCGGTTGAAACAAGATACCTGCTGATGTTCATTTGTGTAAAGAGGAAGAGATAATCAGTTCACGTGCCACTTGAACTGAAGTGCAACAGTGATCTGTCACGACACATTAAAGGGCCACAGAATGGTATTTATTTGTTGAATTTTTTTTACAAATGACAAAATTTGAAAGCTGATATGAAAGGGTCAATTACCCAGCTAACAGGAAATGTTTTCAGAACTTTGACTAATATTCTGGAAAAGTTATGAACAAACGTTCTTCTAGTAACGTTACTAGAATGTTTATTCAGAGTTATCTGGTCTTTAATAATGCTCTCAAGACATTAGCACAAAAACATTACTGTACAATGCATCATTCATGGGACAGTTTATTTCGTGTAATGTTTTCATATGTTTCTACTTGTTTCAGGATATTTTGCGAACTTTTAAAAGCAACGTTCATGTAATGGTTGCAAAATGACAAAATGGAATGTTACCGTAATGTTTGCATAACCAAAAAAGTTCTAAAAACCTTAAAAAAACTGGGTGTTTTGAACATTCAGAGAACAATCATAAATAATGTTTTCATATCTTAATAGGAATGTTAGCAAAATGTTCTTTGGACAAGAGCTGGACAAAAGGGCTTCCTCGAATTGACCTAGCCAATCTTAATTAAAATGGTTATTCCACCCCCACCCCCCTCCAAAAAAAATTTATCATCACTTACTCACCGTCAATTTGTTTCCAACCCATGTAACATGATTTTTCTGATGATCAAAAGTGAAAATTGAAGAAAGTACTAGTTGCTGTGTTCAGTGGAGCATTTAAGCTTCAAAAGGAATTTAAAAGCACCATAAAAGAAAAGTAACAGTGGCTAGGAATCCCAAATCATTTACAGTAGTGTTTTTGTTAACCAGATCAACCAATTCATTAATAAATCAAACCCAAAAGGAAGTATGAATAGCATATTCTTCATTTAAAATTTTTTTTTTTTATGGATTTCAAACAGCATGACAGAATTAAAATTTTTGTGTGAACTATACCTTTTATTGGCAATATTTGCCTCAGTGAGGAATAACCCTTTTATCTTAAAAGCAAGTAACCCTGCAGGCATAAAATCAACATATGTAGCCGCAACACCTGCATGAAGATAGTCATCTCTCTCTGCCAGCATCACACTTATGACCTATTTCTGTAACCAAAATCTGAAACCAGCTAGACAGACAACTTCTAAACTTGTGTGTCAGGTACCGTGGATCTCAGCTCAACTGAATTCATTAAGTTCATATCTCACATAAAGTGGAAAGGCACTGAGATCGGTCCAGATGGTTGAGTTGATATGCTAAATGTATTTTCAGGACCCAGCTATACTTGTAGGGGTGTTAAGTTTCAACCAGTCATGTTTGCTGCTATCTGAAACTTGGACTTCCTGGAATGTGCAGACGAGAATAAAATGTGAACTGTAATATGGCAGGCAAACATTGCATCACCATCTTTAATGGCATATGCATGACGGAACGAATAGTGGTATTTATGGTTTTATGCTGTGGCTGTAAAACACAATTTGACTGCATTATATAAACAGAAGCTACAGTTTGTATTTATTAAATTGTATTGAAAACAAAAATTAAATGTATTAAATATTATCTCTTTTATTTAATAAAGAATAATTCTATCTAGCTATCTTTGGCACGTAATCATGCTTTTCAGGAAATTGCACTGTCACTTACATTTTCAGATACGAAAAAGACTTATTTGTCATTAATACAGAATTATTGTACATAAACTAGAGTGTTATGCTATACTTTCGACCCATTTTTTATCTTTTATCTGCTTTCATTTAGAAATAGTTTTAATTATACCATAACTAATTCTTATATCTGTCTTCATTTTTTTTTTTAGAAAAGAGGTTTTGGAAATCCCTCACAAAGCAGGTTTGTTTTTTCTTTAACTGAATATTTATCTACTTCTGAATTTAGAAAATCTGAATAATACTCAATATATGTGCTTTTTTTTTTTTTTTAAAGGATCTAGACAAGATTCTGTCAGATACGCCACCTGTTTGGAAAGGATCATCCCGTCTGTTCCGAAACCTGTGGGAAAGAGGTGAGATCTAATAATCTTGTTATGTAAATCGATTTGTATTGTATAATGCAGTGTATAATGCTTTGTCATTTGATACAGTAAATGCCTCCAGGCAATTTGACTTTGAGAGGATCTGCTTTCAAACTGCCGCGTGTGTGGCTATCATTCTAAATACAGAGTTAATATACAGTAATGTGCAAATTATGGATGATGTGCTTACAATTAAAACAGATATTGTGATGTAGGTGCAATTGGGATGCAGTTTTTAGCGTGCAGATGCTTAGGCCATCCACATAACCCAGTGTTATGAAAGTCTGGATCCTGAAACTGGCCTCATGTGGCAGGAGAGTGCATAGGCTGTAAATACTCTCTTATCTCTCAATCAGTCTGACATTACTGTGACTTTGCTCTAGGATGATCACAGATAGGAAGGTGACAAAAAAAAAAAAACCCAGTGCATAACATGTGGTATGTCGTTTTGAATAGAAAATAATCACATGCTCAGCCGAGGGGTGCGCCACGCTCACACAGTCATACTAATCCATAAATTACCTAGCTTTATATTACCCTGAGGTCTTACTTTCTAGACGTGCTTCAAGAAAAATCAGTGTTTGCTTATCGTACTTGACATATCAGCAACAATAGACAAATTAAAAGGAAATTTATGGTATTGCAAGAATTCTTAAAATGGCATGGACCACAATGTTTAGAAAGGAAGAAAGAAATTTTAATTTAATTTAACTCTACCTTTATATATTTTTATATTGTTTTTTTCAGGTCATTTAGACTTTTGTCAAAAAGCTTTTTAAAATTTTTTTTTTATAAGAATATTCATGTAGTTTATAATTAAACACAGAATAGTTCAAAATGACGAGAACATTTTCAGCTTTTAACGAGGGGCTTTCCAAGGTGCTAACAGTACATTCCATGTAATGTTCTTTCTTACACTTAAAACACTAAAACTCTCCACATAGTGCATGATATCTCTGCTCACCGTTGCGCTCCTTGAGTGCCAGTGCCTGGATTTGAGCTTTTATTCCGGCTGTTAAATGTTAAAGCTGCACTTAAGTTAAAAAAAAAGAAGATAGGCTTGATCTGTGAACAAAGCCTTACTTCAGAAAATGAAAAGAGCTGTTTGAACTTTGCAGTGTTGAGACTTGTCCTAGTGGCAGCCCCGTATAACTCTGGACAGTATGAATTCTAAGAATGGAGTTGGATTACATCTCCATCATTGACACTCTATATGAATTGTTTCTGTGGGATTCTTTGTGTTCTGACAACTGTTTGAGCTCTTGGGCTGGGTTTCTTTCTGCAAGACTGAAGGTGTGTGGCTCTAATGAAACCTGACTGGGATCCTAAAAGACTAAATGCACAGGCAGTTATCTCTTTTATTTAATAAAGAATAATTCTATCTAGCTATCTTTGGCACGTAATCATGCTTTTCAGGAAATTGCACTGTCACTTACATTTTCAGATACGAAAAAGACTTATTTGTCATTAATACAGAATTATTGTACATAAACTAGAGTGTTATGCTATACTTTCGACCCATTTTTTATCTTTTATCTGCTTTCATTTAGAAATAGTTTTAATTATACCATAACTAATTCTTATATCTGTCTTCATTTTTTTTTTTAGAAAAGAGGTTTTGGAAATCCCTCACAAAGCAGGTTTGTTTTTTCTTTAACTGAATATTTATCTACTTCTGAATTTAGAAAATCTGAATAATACTCAATATATGTGCTTTTTTTTTTTTTTTAAAGGATCTAGACAAGATTCTGTCAGATACGCCACCTGTTTGGAAAGGATCATCCCGTCTGTTCCGAAACCTGTGGGAAAGAGGTGAGATCTAATAATCTTGTTATGTAAATCGATTTGTATTGTATAATGCAGTGTATAATGCTTTGTCATTTGATACAGTAAATGCCTCCAGGCAATTTGACTTTGAGAGGATCTGCTTTCAAACTGCCGCGTGTGTGGCTATCATTCTAAATACAGAGTTAATATACAGTAATGTGCAAATTATGGATGATGTGCTTACAATTAAAACAGATATTGTGATGTAGGTGCAATTGGGATGCAGTTTTTAGCGTGCAGATGCTTAGGCCATCCACATAACCCAGTGTTATGAAAGTCTGGATCCTGAAACTGGCCTCATGTGGCAGGAGAGTGCATAGGCTGTAAATACTCTCTTATCTCTCAATCAGTCTGACATTACTGTGACTTTGCTCTAGGATGATCACAGATAGGAAGGTGACAAAAAAAAAAAAACCCAGTGCATAACATGTGGTATGTCGTTTTGAATAGAAAATAATCACATGCTCAGCCGAGGGGTGCGCCACGCTCACACAGTCATACTAATCCATAAATTACCTAGCTTTATATTACCCTGAGGTCTTACTTTCTAGACGTGCTTCAAGAAAAATCAGTGTTTGCTTATCGTACTTGACATATCAGCAACAATAGACAAATTAAAAGGAAATTTATGGTATTGCAAGAATTCTTAAAATGGCATGGACCACAATGTTTAGAAAGGAAGAAAGAAATTTTAATTTAATTTAACTCTACCTTTATATATTTTTATATTGTTTTTTTTTCAGGTCATTTAGACTTTTGTCAAAAAGCTTTTTAAAATTTTTTTTTTATAAGAATATTCATGTAGTTTATAATTAAACACAGAATAGTTCAAAATGACGAGAACATTTTCAGCTTTTAACGAGGGGCTTTCCAAGGTGCTAACAGTACATTCCATGTAATGTTCTTTCTTACACTTAAAACACTAAAACTCTCCACATAGTGCATGATATCTCTGCTCACCATTGCACTCCTTGAGTGCCAGTGCCTGGATTTGAGCTTTTATTCCGGCTGTTAAATGTTAAAGCTGCACTTAAGTTAAAAAAAAAGAAGATAGGCTTGATCTGTGAACAAAGCCTTACTTCAGAAAATGAAAAGAGCTGTTTGAACTTTGCAGTGTTGAGACTTGTCCTAGTGGCAGCCCCGTATAACTCTGGACAGTATGAATTCTAAGAATGGAGTTGGATTACATCTCCATCATTGACACTCTATATGAATTGTTTCTGTGGGATTCTTTGTGTTCTGACAACTGTTTGAGCTCTTGGGCTGGGTTTCTTTCTGCAAGACTGAAGGTGTGTGGCTCTAATGAAACCTGACTGGGATCCTAAAAGACTAAATGCACAGGCAGCCGTTGATCTCTTAACTAAGTTTTGAATAGTGTGGGTATACATAGGGCACTCAGTTTATCACAAATAATCGCATAAATGAATATTTGCTGATTAAAGCATGCAAATTAAGATAATAAAAAGACTTATAGCAGATGAAGCATTGAATAGATATTACAAAAAGTTGTACTTCAGGCCTAAATTGCTCTGATGGCATTTTCTATTGGATCATTTTTAAATGCATTAAAAAATTTAATCTAAAAGTACTGAATTTAATATGTATAAATGAATTTAAATTGAAATGAACGTAACATGATTTTTTATTAAATTCAATGTAAAATATGTAATAAATTAGCACATTAAAGTCACACGAATATATATGTATGTTTATGCTTGTATATATGTGACCCTGGACCACAAAACCAGTCTTAAGTCGCTGGGGTATATTTAAAGCAATAGCCAAAAAAACATTGTATGGGTCAAAATTATTAATTTTTCTTTTATGCCAAAAATCATTAGGATATTGAGTAAAGATCATGTTCCATGAAGATATTTTGTAAAATTCCTATCATAAATATATCAAAACTTAATTTTTGATTAGTAATATGCATTGCTAAGAATTTCATTTAGACAACTTTAAAGGCGATTTTCTCAATATTTGGATTTTTTTGCACCCTCCGATTCCAGATTTTCAAATAGTTGTATCTCGACCAAATATTGTCCTATCCTAACAAACCATACATCACTGGAAAGCTTATTTCATTTTTTTTTCAAAAAATTGACCCTTATGACTGGTTTTGTGGTCCAGGGTCACATATGTTACATGTTTATATATATATTACAGTAATATTACAGTTTTTTACTGTCTTTTTGATCAAATTAAGTTAAATGGTATTGCAAAATCAAACTTTTTTCTATTTGAATATATTTTAAAATGTGATCCTTGATCCTTCAGAAGTCATTCTAATATGCTGATTTAGTGCTCAAGAAACAATTACCGTTGTTATCAATGTTGAAATAATTGTTGCATAATACATTTGAAATGAAATTATAACTAAATGAATTAATATGTTGTTTTTATTTAATTAATTATATTAAATTAACACCTTAAATTCACAGCATTAGTTATATACAAATACAAAATAGTGGTGAATTCACGAACATATACATCAGGATCAAGGTGGCCTGAAATGGGAAAATGTATCTTCTCTATTCTGTTCTCCGCTTCCTTAAACATTCCAAAGTCCTTTTCCCACAGCACTCAAAGAAGCCCTCCTGAACTATCTGTGTCCAAGTCACTATCATCTCCTTCAAACAAAAGCTTGGGAATGCTTTCAGTGGCAGGAACAATTCTCCTTAAGTCTCTCCTAGACAGAGACCTGACAGTTGCTCTTCCTTTCTTCTCCTCTCACACAACAAAAGACTAACAGACCTCAAAAAGGAAAAGAAACCCACATCAGACATCTGCAATCAGTTACAGATCACTTGAGAATGTTTTACACCTAGGAAAATAAACAGAGGGGAACTCAGGAGCCATTGGCCTGCTCTAATTTTGTTTGGCTTTGTGTCCAGCCTAGTTACTTTACGTTTTAACGTCTCTGTTTGTGCAAAGAGGACACCAAACAAGAGAAAAGAACGGGATCCTCTTAGATCTTATCAGTGTAAAAGAAGAAAGGATCTCTAGTTTAAAATGACATTTGATAGTAAAATTTAGTTTGAAGGCAGGTTCTGGGATGTTGGAAAACAAGCTTTGTGTGAACTCTCGAAAGGAAATGTTTATGTGCTTTTTTTCAGGTGCCATCGCTTACACAGAGTATCTGTTTCTACTTTGCATTTTGACAAGTAAGTTTGTCTTTAGGTTAAATTCACGCTTGTTTAGCACAAACAATGGTCACGAGAAATATAGCCTCATGAAGATGTGTTATGTCTTTCTTTTGTCTTCTAGAGCCGCATGCAGGTTTTAAAATAGCTTTCAAAATGTTTGATGCAGATGGCAATGAAATGGTGGATAAGAGGGAATTCATGGTGGTACGGTTGATTTTGTTGTTGTTTATTATTAATATGAGTGTCAGAATGCTTAAAGATAAATTTCTACTTTTTTCATTTAGCTGGAAGAGATATTCCGTAAGAAAAATGAAAAGAAAAAAGAACGGGGAGGAGATCCTGACAGTTACTCTCAACTGGTAAGAAATACATTTCTGCCTTCCTACCAAAAGCATTTTACAGTCCTCTGTTGCATGAGCATATTCTTTTGCCATATCTCGATTCGATGTGTAGGTATTTGAAAGTAATCTAAGGAAATAGTTCATCCAGAAAAAGACAATTCTGTCATGATTTCTCACGCTCATGTCATTCCAAACCCTTAGTTCTTTCTTATCCGAGTAACACCAAAGGAGAAGTTTTGAAGAATGTTCACACTGCTCTCTTCCATTCAGTAAAATGAATAGTTCTCCATAAAAGCAGTTGATCTAAAATTTGATCTAAAAAATGACAATATTGTCTTCTTTAGAGCTGCTTTATAGCTAAATCAAATAGTCTGATGGACTTTGCAACATCGGCACTGTTATTGAACTGAATTGAATACACTGAACTGACTCAACATGACATACTGTCCACAGTAGAGCTACTCATTACAGAATTGAACTTATTTTCTAACAAAATTTGTATTTGTCATATTTAATGAAGTTTGCATAGCTGAATCTCTTCCTTCACTGTTAAGCTGCACTGTTAATCTTTGTTGTATGAAGCGCTATACAATTAAAGATAACTTGACTTGAGGAAGAGACTGAAATTGCTTGGCAGCCACGTTCACCATTCACTTTCATTGCATGGAAAAGATTGCTATAAATTGCTTAATTATATTTGTTATTATATATTTTTTTAGATGTAATAATTTACTGCAGATTACTTTTTCCATGTGCCTAGTAAAGTAACACATTACTTTTTAATTTGCAAGAAAATATTGACTTACTTTTTCAAATAAGTAACAGAAGTTACTTTATTTTCCCATTTATTGACTGACAGCTCTCCTGTCCAATGTTCAGAGAAATTGGGAGTGCAGAGGCATTGTGTGCGTTGTGTCAACATGAGGCTTATTGTAGTTCTAGACTAAATGTGAATATGCATTTACTGATCTCACCTTCACAAAAAACAGATTCTGTATTCCTCAACATGTATAAAAACAGTAAAATGCACTCTGAATATGACGCACACCTACAATAATGAAGTATGTTAAATAATACAAATATCCTTTATGTATTTAATCCCGTTTTATTAAACAATGTCTTTGCTGCTGACATTTGATGATCCAGTTCAATCGTACTAATAAGCAAAAAAAAAAATTTTTTTTAGTAAGGTTTATTTGAGCTGCGCCCTCTACTGTACAGATGTGAATTTCCATCTCCTTCAGCCTGAGGCTTATTCATTTCACTTTTGGTGTGAAAGTGCTTTTACATTGGCCAAAAGCAGAACTTTTTATATTAAAAACAATCAAGTAAGCCCAGCCCAGAAGTAATGCAAAAGTAACGCAATGCATTGCATTCCATAAAAAGTAACTAAGTAATGCAATTAGTTGTGCTGTCAAACGATTAATCGCATCCAAAATAAAATATTTTGTTTACATAATATATGTGTGTATACTGTGTATATTTATTATGTATATTTAAATACTAACACATGCATGTATATATTTAAGAAAAATATGTTATGTTTATATATTAAATATATTTATATATAATATAAGAATATACGTATATAAATGTATATACATGTAAATATTTTCAAAATATATACTGTATGTGTTTATATATACATAATAAATATACACAGTACACATACATATATTGTGCTGTCAAACGATTAATCGCATCCAAAATAAAATATTTTGTTTACATAATATATGTGTGTATACTGTGTATATTTATTATGTATATTTAAATACTAACACATGCATGTATATATTTAAGAAAAATATGTTATGTTTATATATTAAATATATTTATATATAATATAAGAATATACGTATATAAATGTATATACATGTAAATATTTTCAAAATATATACTGTATGTGTTTATATATACATAATAAATATACACAGTACACATACATATATTATGTAAACAAAAACTTTGATTTTGAATGCGATTAATCATGATTAATCATTTGACAGCACTAGTAATTAGTTACTTTTTTAGGGAGTAACACAATATTGTAATGCATTACTTTTAAAGGTAACTTGTTATCATCTGTTTCTATCCATTATCTGCTATGAATTTCTCCTTTTGTGTTCCACGAAAGAGGAATAAAGTCATAAGAGTTAGAAAGACATGAGTGTGAGTGAACGATCATTTTTGGATGAACTATTTCTTAATTTTTTAACACATCTGTTGAAATAGAAATTGTTGCATGTTCTCAATCACATTTAAATATGAGAGATGATGTAGTGCATGATCCATGCATGTTCATTTGAACAAATTTGCACAGTGTAAATGGTGTATATGAATATCTTTATGCAGAGTACAAGACTACTATAAGTCTCTTATCTCTCATGCTGGGGAAATGCTTATTATTATAGATTGTGTTTTGAAAAACACATTCCGAGTTCATTGTCTTTCACCATTCCTTATTGAGATATGACAAATGCTGAATGGTGATTTGATTTGATTTCTTTCCTGTTCTGCACGCCATCATAATCTTCGGTGTGTGAGAGCGTGGAACTGTATGGACATCATGGATCTGTCAGCAGCAATGTATGTATCTGTGTACTAAAGAATCCTTATGAGTATGACATGTTTTTAACATGCCGGTAATGTGGTCCATGCTTGATTGAACTTGTACAGTCATGATCAACAGCAACCATGCATGCTCGTTGTAACCACTAATGTTTATGCAGCTTCACCCTAATTAGTGCTCAATAAACCAGAAGGGTTACATCCACATTCAGTGGCTTCTTTCAGACAGTCAGTGAGCAATATTATTTTACATACTGAAATGTTTGGATAAGGCGTTACAGAGTGACCCGCACGCATGGCTCACCTCCTGAAAGGCGGGACAATGCAGCTCTAATGGGGCTCAGTCTGAAATGCAGCTCTATTGTCTAGGAGAGCAGAAAAATCATCCAGAGACTGAAACAGATGATTTATGTTGCTTGTCTACTGTCAGGAGCTTTCTGCCAAGGAATGGTCTCACAGAATCACGTTAAAAGGCCCTCACCTGAAGAATGGCAACTCTCCCTGGACCCCCATGTTTTATTTTTACAGTTGCTTGAAGAGTGCTATTTGGGTTTAGGTTACTTCTTGCGACGGCTTGACCATGAAAAGTTTTGTCTTACTTAGAATTGCAGCTGAGGAAAGAGCCAGTTTCAGCACCAAACAAGAGAAATGAGAAGCTCTTTCAGCGTGTAAACCAGCGTTTTTTTTTGTGTAAACCACAATATACTTGTGCTGATTCTAAAAATATAATAATACTGAACACAATCCACTGTTTATCTTGGCAAGGACATAACTGGATTGATTCAGAGTGCTTGTTTACTGACTGAAGCACTAAGGTCACGTTCACACAGCAGCAGAATATGATTGTCTGGCCTTTGTTTGAGTGTTTAATACAGTTACACTCTTACCTTGTTTTGTTGTTTATGAGAGTTAACCAAACTCATACCCATACCTTTTCAGGACTCACAACTGCATTTTTGGTGAAATGTAGAGGACAATTAGTTCTACTTTACACTGCACATATCTTGTGTGTTTTCATCTGTGGTTTTGCTGACTTATAGACTTATAGAAATTTGAGCTGTGTTTTATATTGATTGGTTTGAAAGCACAGTATACATAAGTGAATACTTAAAAAAACCTGGAAAACAAAACGATAACAGATCTAAGATAAAACAGCACTGATCACAACAGGGAGAAATTCATTAGAAGGGTGCAGTGAAGTTTACTTCACATTATTTTGCATTAATTCAGGTGGTTTTTGCATGTGGAATAGTCTTTCACTGTATTGTCTAAATCTTGTTTTGTTAAGCCTTTGATATTTTCACCTCTGACACGCAGGTACTTAAAAAAGAGCAGCCTCAGTCTGAACCCAGAAGTTTCTGGGATGTTCTAAGGCTTGGTGCGAGAATAGTTCTCTTTTCAGATCTGATGGAGGTACAAGTATCCTCAAGCTCACGTTTTCTCATTCGAATCTCGACTCGTATTACACTTGGCCATTCCCTGTCCCTCATCCCATGTGAGGTTCTGCCCATTGTTTCATGTTTTTTTTTCCTTTTTGTGGTATCACCATTGTCATTCATTAATGTCTCTACACTTCATGTTGTTACAGTTAGATATTAATAGATAGTTCAAGACCTTAAAATGCATATGAAGATAACTGAACTGCACAACAAAAGATATTTGGTTTTATTTATGCATGTCAATAAAATTATTGTTTGAAATCAAATTATTGTTATTATATGATATTGATGATATCTAGAATATTATGATAACGCAAGTTTCCAAAATATTTTGTAGTTGACATTTTAAGGCTTCTTTGTTAAAAAGACTATGAGATAGATACAGTATGCCTCTTGTTTTTGTAATGATACATTGCTGTAAAGGAGCATTGAGGTATATCTTGTATGCAGATTTCTGCACGAGCAACCTGTTGTTTGCGTGGCATGAGATGATGTCGGCTGCTCCATGATGTGTCTTTGCTCTATCAAACATATGAACTTTCCAAGACTTTATAGATAGGAATAGTTCATCCAAAATAAATTCTGTCATCATTTACTTGCCCTCATGTTGTTCCAAATCTGTGATTTTTCATGCAGTTCTAGTTTACATTGAATGTAGGGACAGGAGCTTTCAAGATGCAATAAGCACTATAAAAATATCTCCAAGGAGAGCTAGAGTAACATCATGAGTGTGAAAAAACGATGACAGAAATGTCATTATCCCTTTAATCACTATTCACAGCTAGCTGAAGGGCACCAAATCAACGCACAATTATTTATGTGTGATTTTAAGATGTATGATAGAGATTTAGCTTTTTTGAAAAATGATCTCAATTGTCAATTGCTTTTTAATTAATCTTTTTATATTTTTCTTTGCCAATTTACATTTATTTGTATATGTGTTCTTTATGTTGTGATGTTATGTTTATGGCTGTACAGTAATATCCCCATCAAGCTATTTTTGTGTACACTTATTCTGTGACAAATTTTGCTCCCTTATTCAGTTTTTACAGCTGAATAATGCGTTTTCGTAATTTGCTTTCACAGCACGAACCAGAAAATGTCACCTACACAACCCTGCTGGTGCATTTCTTTGGAAGAAAGGGCAAAAGTGAACTTAACTTTGATGACTTCTACAGGTAATTCCATGACTGTGACCCAAATCTAGGCTGCTGGATTTTAAGTTTCTTTAATACAGCCTCAGGTTTCTTCTTCATGTTTTTATACATGTTATTAATGCATGACCCTTAAGAAGGAGTTTGAATGGCCTGAGGCCGTCAGTGAGGATGTTGTATTGGTTTTAAAGCATGGTCCAGTCACTTAGTCTAGTGTCCTACTGAGCGAGTGATGGCATCTCCTCTTAACATAGTGTGTCATGCTCTGTTGGCAGATTCATGGACAACCTGCAGACGGAAGTCATTGAGATTGAGTTCCTCAGCTATTCCAAGGGAATGCCCACCATCAGTGAGGAAGACTTCGCTCGGATCCTGCTGCGTTACACCACAGTGGAGAACATCACAGGCTATCTTGAGAATGTGCGTCAAAGCATACCCGATGAGAAGGTAATACATTTGCTCTGGACACACACACACACACACACACACACACACTGTCTGGTTTGCTATCCTTGTGGGGACTCTCCATAGGTGTAATGTTTTTTCTACTGTACAGACCGTATATTCTATGCCCTACACCTAAACCTAACCCCTTACAGGAAACTGTGCATTTTTAGATTTTCAAAAAACTTAATTCTGTGTGATTTATAAGCTTGTTTACCCGTGGGGACTTCAATTTAGGTCCCCACCATGACATGAGTCCCCAAGAGTCTGTGTGCATTCAGGTTTAAGTCCTCACCAGAATAGAAAAACAGGTACACACACACACACACACACACACACATTCACCACCATCATAACTCAGGAAAATCAGGAGGCTTTCCAATCTAGCGCTATAGTCACCACATTTAAATGTTATGGCAATTTGCATTTTTTTTGCCATCAAAATGGTAAAAAATATTGTAATTTAGCACATTGTTATTTTTGTAACTTATCTAACACTATGTTATGAAAGTGTGATTTCTGAATGTTCTTGGAACATTCAAAACATTCCATTTTTCATTTTTATAGTTTTGCATTATGGGAATGTTAATGAAATCTGAAATTAGTAATATTTTAAATAATGAATGTCCAACTAAAATATTTAAGAAAAGCATAACATGAACATTGCATGTATAAATAATGTGCTAATGTTTTGAGAACAACAGACCAGTTTTAAACAAACGTTCTATAAACGTTACTAGAAGAACTTTTGTCCGTAACTTTCGGAGAACCTTTCCAGAACATTAGCCAAAAGAGCTAGATTGGTATGAACTTAATACTTTTTCACATCAGTTTGTCAATATTCTAATATTTCTACTCCTTTACCTTTATCTAAGTTGATGTATTTTTCATGAATTAGTCTATTCAAATCACTGCATAGCAAAACAAATACCACCACATAGTAGAGAGAGACAGATATTTATAATCTGAATGATGCTGGTGTCTTTTTTTTCTTTAGGTTGTTTCCCTTTTTGCACATTGACCCTCACATTATGAGGTTAGATTCTTTTCAGCTGCTCAAAGAGGCTGTTGGTGGATGGCCATTGCTATATAAGTGGTTTTTATTCTTAAGTTAAGAGATATTGCAATACAGCTTAACTTGTAATACCACCAAAGCGTCACATATTACTCATTATATCATTTGTAAAACGGTTGTTGTTGGTTGCAAGAGAGGCTTCAGAAAAAGACGTGGGTCTAGTGCCTGGAAATGGATGAGTGGAAATCAAAAGGGCCGCTGTTTGGGTAATCTGCTAGCGCTGAGCTATTTTGGACACATCCCCTTTTGTTTTTATGTATGCAAGTATCAGGTTAATCTTCTGTAGAAGAGTCGACAAGCTACCCGACCTCTCCTTAAACAAAACAATCTAAAGGTGTCGACAGCTCAAGTTGTATAGGAGCAGAAGAGATGTGTGCTGGGATTGTTTGACTTTGCTGTTTTCTGTCTTGGGATCTGTTATCGCTCTTCAAGGTCCCACAGACACTTAAGGTGTCCTCCTGGTTGGAATAGTGTGGCATGATGCAGTATTGTCTTGTTTGTGTTGCATTTATTATTCTGAGACCATAGCGATATATTTTGATATTAATCATTTTATGTACTAGCTCTCTGCATGAGTGCTGTCATATTATAATGATTCTGACTTAATTATCTTTCCTTTGCCCAAAGGTTCCTCTTAAAAGGAACATTGCTGATTTCATCTGACTTAACACTGCTCTTCTCTTCTAGGGCATCACGTTTGAAGATTTTAGGACCTTTTTTCAGTTCCTCAACAACTTAGAGGATTTTACCATTGCCATGCAAATGTACAACTATGCAAATCGCCCAATTGGACAAGGTAAACATATAAGCCATTCATATAATCCATTTACTCCTGAAACGCTTGTGGGTAATGATGTTTGGTTCTCACAGATGAGTTTGCACGTGCGGTCTATGTGGCCACTGGCCTGAAGCTGTCACGACATCTCGTGAACACTGTTTTCAAGATCTTTGATGTGGACCATGATGAATGCCTCTGTAGTTCTGTATTGGCAATGCATTGTTCTTTTTGCTTCTCTAGGAGTTATAAGCCAGATAATCTTTCCTTACAATGAGCACATTGCTAACATAGTTTCTCTGAGCTTGTCCACTGCCCACCACCCAGATCAGCTTACACAGGGTCTGACAGTGCTGAGTGCACACAGTAATAATGAGTCCTCAGTAATCTCACAATGTGCTACACATACAGATCCCTCTCTCCACCTCTTTCATGAGTTTCTTACACTGCCGCTCCTTTAAGAAACATCTTGCGAAGCCAAAACAACAAACGAGAAGAAACGGAATCCCACTGAACTCTATTCATGTAGGTTTAGAGATACGATATCCATCTCGGTGAATCATTTTATAATGGTTTTAACTGACCTATCTTCAGAATTCTGACAGTGCTTTAGACTTAAGTTATTTCTGATTGTTCTTTTAGGTGATTAAGCATATTACAGTGTGCAGTTTTTATTATCATTGTCATAAGTAATATTATAGGGGGGGCCAGGGCTAGTTGTCACACATTACTCTAGTGAATAATTCTCAGGGTGTTTATTTTTTTTTAAGTCAACATCTGTGCAGATATTTTAAATCATTGGCAACAAAAAGCTTTTGAACATTACCACCATTATTGTCCAGGAAATAAGATACAATAAAAAATATATATATTTTAAGACATAAAACAGGACAACATGCATTTGTTTATCTGGACCTTTTACTCAAAACTTCGTTTTATTATTAACTTTTGTGATAACTGCCTTGTGTGACAATTAGCTCCAGTCTCACCATGCTTTTCTACAGAATATAGGCCATGTTTTAGAGCTTTAAAACCTAAAATAGCCTATTTCATGTAAAAGAAATGAAAACCATATTTGTCAGTCTTTTTGACTTCTATATTACAGTGTGCATCTGTCATTACCATTATGTAAAGTATACTTTTTATGCATTAGTATTCAGATTGCTTATAAGGTTTGAATAAATTTAAAAACCACAATTTCTGGTCTGTGCTTTACAAAAATTAACCATGGCTTTACTGTATTAAAAGTGTAGTAACCATGATTTTTGGTTTTATTAGTAGTAAATGGAATGGTTGCTTGTGTCCGAACGAAGACATGTCTATAACTAATAGACCTACAGTGTTATTATTAATATTTGTTTATTTAAACACGATGAAGCCATTAAAAGATTTCGCTTGTTTAAGCTGTTTATATCAGGAGAAAATGAACTACTTAATGTCAGTGTTGGGGAAAGTTACTTTTAAAAGTAATGCATTACAATACTGCGTTACTCCCTAAAAAAGTAACTAATTACGTTACTTAGTTACTTTTTATGGAAAGTAATGCATTATATTACTTTTGCGTCACTTTCGTGTTACTTTTTAAATATAAGCAGGGCTTGATTGTTTTTAATATAAGAAGTTCCATTTATGGCAAATATAAAAGCCCTTTCACACCAAAAAGTGTAATGAATAAAAAGTAAATTCAAAAGTAAATTCACGTCTGTACAGTAGAACGCAGGAGAAGAAACACTCTTCAGCAATAAAGAAACAAAGCACAATTGTTAGTTTCTCTAAAGTCATTTTTGCTTATTAATATGGTTGAACTGGATCATCAAAGGTCAGCAGCAAAGATACTGGTTAATAAAACATTTGTGTTATTTAACATATTTAATTATTGCAGGTTTGCGTCATATTCTGAGTTTGCATTTCACTGTTTGAATTCATTTTGATGCATACTAAATCTGTTTTTTGTGAGTGGGATGAATTAATGCACATTCACATTTAGTCTAGAACTACAGTAGCATCATGTTCACACAATTCCTCTGTACTCCTGATTTCTCCCAGTATGGGGACAGGAGACTTGTCAGTCAATAAATGGGAAAACAAAGTAACTGGCGTTACTTTTTTTGAAAAAGTAACTCAGATATTTTCTTGTAAATTAAAAAAGTAATGCGTTACTTTACTAGTTACTTGAAAAAAGTAATCTGATTACGTAACTCGCATTACTTGTAATGAGTTACCCCCAACACTGCTTAATGTGTATTCACACGTTTTTATCACTATATTATTTAATTATAGTGTAACATTGTAAAGTGTTATTGAACGCTGGTGTGACATTTTTAATCCTATTTTGTAGTGTGAGGACACATTGCGCTATCAGTAACATTTTAAATATACTAGATATAGAAAACCATTTCTAAAGTATAGCAGACAAACCTATGGTGATGATACAAGCCAGCAGAATCAGGCTTTAGTGTAGTAACACCTCCACTGCATCGCGTGAGCGTAGTGTAAGTTTGAAGAAAGGGGCGGAACCTACCGATGCGCTACACTGCAAACGAGCGACCGGAGGATGGAGGAGCAGAGGAAGCACAGCTGTACGCGGAAGACGATATGATGTTTTAGAAACAGTGCGGGCCCGGTGAGGCTGAACTTGTCGTTTTAGACACTTTAGGTCATCAGATAGAAAGATGGCGCCGTCGGGCTCGCGTAGCGTTGACTGCTGGAGAGTTTTATACTGGATCCCTGTGCTGTTCATCAGTCTGATCGTGGCATGGTCCTACTACGCTTATGTAGTACAGCTCTGCATAGGTAAGACTGGAAGCTGCTCTCTGAATGAAGTTGGAGTGAAACGGCGAGAGAATTAATAAATAACACCTGACTTCGACCATGTGTTATGCATATGTCTGCTTCTCTTACTAGAGCAATGTCTCTGCTATTGAGGGAGCCATACCTACTAAGAGTGGGTCATGATTAGTGTCAAGTGGTATGAGATTAATTAATTTAACCTCTCTCTTTATATGTGCATGTGTTTCTGAAAGTGTCTGTATTAGAACCCTTAATATTATAATATTAAGCATGTCTCTGCATCTTAACTACAAAACTGGAAACATATATGGGTCAGTGACTAATAAGGATCAGGATGCATGTGTGAGATTAAAAAAAAAATGGATCTTTTAAAAAATACACAAGCCAAGTTCCTAGAAATGTAATATTTGTATTCTGTTAGTTTCATACATTTTGGAAAAACATACTATTTAAAAATCCTCAATTAAAAAGTACAAACACATCTATCTAGCTAGTCTCTGTTTCTCTGATGTTACAAATATCATGCATTTTTTGAAGTCATGAATAAGTAGTTTATTAGTAGTCAACTATTTTGTATAAATGCTGTTCTTTTTAAAGGGGTCATATGATGCGATTTCAATTTTCCCTTTCTCTTTGGAGTGTTACAAGCTCTTGGTGCATAAAGAAGATCTGTAAAATTGCAAAGACTAAAGTCTCAAATCTAAAGAGATATTCTTTATAAACGTTAAGAGTCAACCACACCTAGCTAAAACGGCTCGTTCTAACATGCCCCCACATATCTACGTCACTGTGTGGGAAGATTTGCATAACGCCGCCCAAATGTTCACGCAAAGAAAGAAGGCGTAACTTTTATTCTCGCTGTAGTAGTGTTGAGGCTGCAGCCCTCTCGTGAAGACGCTGTGTGCTTCGTTGTGAAAGCAAAACTACTTTGTTTGGTCTTCCAAAAGAGGACGATATCCGCTTCGTCATGCCTAGAGCTGATATGTGCTGGTCGCTGAGGAAATACATCAACTTTCACTGTGGACGAAGCGGAGTCCAGCCCGGGGTCGTCACATGTGGTTGCCACTCATTCATCCGATCCGCCGGGCGTGCCGTTCGGCATAGAGAAGAAATAATAATGTACAGTATGTGGAAAATAATGTGTTTTTTTAACTTTAAACCGCATAAACACATTGCATTACACCAAATACACAAAATAATGTTGTTTTTAGCAGCATCATATGACCCCTTTAACTTTTTATTCATTAAAAAATCCTGAAAAAAGTATCACAGTTTCCAAAAAAATATTAAGCAGCACAAACTGTTTCCAACATTGATAATAAATCAGCATATTAGAATGATTTCTGAAGGAACATGTGACACTGAAGACTGGAGTAATGATGCTGGAAATTCAGCTTTGACCACAGAAATAAATTACGGTTTAAGATGTAGTCACATAGAAAACAGCTGTTTTAAATTGTAATAATATTTTACAATATTACAGTTTTTTCCTGTATTTTTGAGTAAATAAATGCAGCCTTGATGAGCAGAAGAAACTTCTTTAAAAGCAATAGAAATCTTACTGATCCCAAACTTTTGAACAGCAGTGTATATATATATTTATTTATTTTATATATATATATTTTACAAACTCAAGTGTAGGGTCCAGCCTCTGTTTTATGGTTTTCTTGTCACATGACGACAATAGCTTTCTTCATGTTGGTTATGCCACATTGAGCGTTGAATTGCTGGACAGTCTTTTAAATATTAAGAAAAAAATTTTATTTTAATAAATAATAATACCATTTTTAATGAACATTTTTTTGTTGCAATCTCAGGACAGTTAACACCACATTTTTTACTTTATGCCCCACAAATATTAATAATACCAGTAATAATTCAGAAACTACAATGTATTCCTACATCCAGTCAAAAAAGCATTTCGTCACTGACCCATATACAATACTTTATATAACAATTTGGCATTACTCTATAGCTACTCCATGTTAGTCATTAAGACCATCATAAAAAAAACTTCTTCTCTCCCAGACAGTGTTTTGTTGCTGTAAACAACTGTAAACAATATCTTCAAACTTTATGTACTGTGTCATTTGTTGAGACTGTGGCTTATTTATGTGTGCGCAACAAGCAAAGGTTTGTGTTCACATTAACTTCAGAACATCATTCACTCCTTTGATAACATCTGCTATCATGGTCCCATAAAAACAGCATGAAGGGGCTTTATTGTTCTCTTGAGTGGTGGATGATCATGAGGATGCCCTGTTTTTCACTGAAGACTAATGGTTTGTGTGTTTGAACTCCTTTTAATAGAATTAAATGACATTCAAATATTTGTGCATAAAACAGCAGCTTTGTGATGTTCCCCAGAGACTTCACTGAGTGAAGCGTCAATGGCCAGGCCTCACTTCTGACTGCTGTTCCCACTGGCAGTTCATACCAGTTTATGCTGAACCACAAACAGTGGGTCTTCGTATGCTTGCTTTGTACTCAAACTGAGCACTTGACTCCAGGATGACCGAATGAAAACCATGAAGGCTTTATTGTCTGAATTTGAAAGCTACTAATTTGCATTGGTTCAATAGGATTATCTAGTTGGCTCATTGCAACAAGCATGTGAATAGCCAAAACCGTTACAAACAGTATTGGTTTAAAAGATCCGTTAACTTTTTAATACTGTCTTTGCATCTATCTTAGCAGGCCATGGTAATGAGAGGTCAGTGAGTCTTTACCGAACCTTAGGTGACAAATGTTGTTATAAACATACTGTCTACTGATCCTTATGTCTCAAAGCTAATCTCACCGCCAAGCTGTCAAACTCAACCTCACCAATCTCTACTTGACCTATTTCTGCTGTCAAATCACTTGTGCTGCACACTGAGTTTAGCAACAAACACATTTGACATTTCTTAGACAGCAACACTGACACCTTCAGGGAAAGAAACTGTTTTATTGTTGAAATTGATAATAATGTATCTTGTCATCTGTTGATGATTTTGTTGATGATTACTCTAATGGAGAAGGGTTATATACCAGTAGACTTTAGTCAGAGTAGCACCATGCTGACAGGATTGAAAATGAGGCTGTGTAGGGATAGAAGTACAGTGTGTTTAAAAGGCACCTATTATGCAAAATTCACTTTTACATGTTCGTTGAACATAAATGTGTGTTGGCAGTGCCAGTGTGTGTACACAACCACCCTAGAATGATAAAAATCCACCTGCTCCTTTTTTAACCCCTGTAAATCAGAAGCAGTGTCTCAATGGAGAAGGGTTATATACCAGTAGACTTTAGTCAGAGTAGCACCATGCTGACAGGATTGAAAATGAGGCTGTGTAGGGATAGAAGTACAGTGTGTTTAAAAGGCACCTATTATGCAAAATTCACTTTTACATGTTTGTTGAACATAAATGTGTGTTGGCAGTGCCAGTGTGTGTACACAACCACCCTAGAATGATAAAAATCCACCTGCTCCTTTTTTAACCCCTGTAAATCAGAAGCAGTGTCTTAGAATGAGCCGTCTGCCGAATCTGTAAAAAGTGACATCATATTTAACAATCCCCGCCCATGACTGTTGACAGACACCCCGCCCTGAATGAGCCGCGCACAATCCGTCATGTTTATCTGTATGCTAGAGCATTTAGAAGCAGCACTCAAGTAAGAAATGTCTTCTTATTAAAGCTACAAAAGTTATTCAGTCTAGAGCAGTGAGTGATTTTCCGTTGTTATTTTATTGTTTGGGTCATATTAACAGCGTAGACAGCAGTAGATACTGTGTATTGCGCTGCTTTCATTTAATTTTTAGCATAAACTTGTGTGTATTTGACAGTTTAAGTGCAATAAGACATGCAAGAGAACTTAGTTTAGTAACTTGCATGCTGTGTGACAGCTGCATTCTGTGCGCGTGCATTCAGAAAACCATATGTATCAAGGGTTTAAACTGATATGGCTTTAAAACACATGATTTCAGCGCGATAGACATGATAATCAAAACAAAACAGATGCTTTTTTTAGCAGAGTATCTGAGGTGCTAGCTGTAAAGGCACCGTCCTATCCTGGAAAAGGGGCGGGGAATAGCAGCTCATTTGCATTTAAAGATACAGGCATGAAAACGTGTTTCTGCTTCCACTCCAAATAGGCATTTTCAAAATGATATTATAAATGATCTGTGGGGTATTTTGAGCTGAAATTCTAGAGACGTATCTTGTAAATAGGGGCATATTAGGTGCCCTTTAATGGAGTGTACAGTTGTTTAACAACATACAGATTATTCAGCTGACAAATGTCTTTCCAAAAAAAACAACAACTTATAGTTAACACAGTCTCCATAAAACATAGTGAAATGTGATCTAGGAGTTTTATACAGCATATGTATGCATTGTTAAAACTTTAAGTCTGTCCCTCACAGCCTCCTTTTCATCTGTGTTAAATTAAAACGGTGTCTCTCCTGACTAAGGTCTATGACAGGGTGCTATGATAATGACCTTTTTACAGTATATAAGGTGTACTCAGACTTGCAGTAATTCTTTACTTGCCTTTTTGAGTGCACCCTAGGGTACACATACTCAATTTAAATATCTGTTTGGAGATGCACTGCATTCTGGGATTCCATTTCTGCTCTGTGCTTCAGAGGAATTACAGTTTTTTACTTTAGTGCCAGGCACTATCATCTTTCAAAGAGCATATTTTGGATAGAGAATAGTGCAGCCCAACCACATTAAATAAGAGGATAATCTAATGAGGCTTTTAGGACACTGCAACTTCACGATAAACTTAAAGAACTAGATATTTATTGAAGAAACTATATGCTTACTCTCAGAAAAAAGGTACAAAGCTATCACTGATGCGGTACCTTCTGTGTCATCTGTGAGGGTGGTTGTATCTTGTTTTTGAAACTGAGCTATTTTCCTGTGTGGTTGTGGTTAGTATCTCAAACCTCATCACCACAATATAGCTTAATGTTCTCAAAGCACACCAGTTGAAGAGATGCAATTATGAGCTAGTGAATTTTGGGCATCTGATCAAGAGTCTCCGTACAGCAACAGCGATCAGAGAACTGTGCTGAGAACCATGTGCTGCTCACTGACATTCTATGAAATGCACAAGGAGTTTCTGACCCACTGTTTATACAATAATAGCCAGTGCAGAATTCAAATCATACAGCATTAACAAAGTTGTAGAGACAAAGTTACTTTTCTCTTTCTCTTTCCTCTGCAGATACTATTGAAAACATGGGAGAGAAAAGTAAGTCAGCTTTTTCTTACAGTGTTTTTACTTGTTGGAAATGATTTTTGCATTTTCTAAAGAAAATGTAAGTGGGTCTTTTATTGTAGGCTACCATTGAAAGGTTTGAAGTCAGTAAGATTTTTTTTGTTAAAAAAAAATGTTATGCAGCAAGGAAGCTGCGCAACCATTTTCAACATTGATAATACTCAGAATTGTTTCTTGAGCAGCAAATCAGCATATTGGAATGATTTCTGAAGGATCATGTGACATTGAAGACAGGATGCTGAAAATTCAGCTTTGCCACCACAGGAATAAATGACATTTTAAATCACTATTTCACAATATTACTGTTTTACCATATTTATGATCAAATAAATGCAGTTTTGGTGAGCATAAGAAACTTTCAAAAACATGTATTTTTAAATAAAAATAGAAAAATCGTACTGACCCCAAACCTTTGAACAGTAGTGTAAGTCAGTGGGATATTTTCACCCATATTTTCATGTGTGTGTGTGTGTGTGTGTGTGTGTGTGTGTTTTTAAATTATTATTTGCCTGCTGAAAATTGTAACCCCCCCACAAAACATCCACCCAGGATGAGTTACACACCAAAGTTTAATAAGTTTAATAATCCTTTATCACAATCTTAAGCAATAATAATAATAATAGTGAAGCTTTAATTATTTAATATAAATGTTATTAAAATTAAAAAAAAATTTTTTTTAATGTGTGTGTGTGTGTGTGTGTGTGTGTGTGTGTGTGTTTTTAAATTATTATTTGCCTGCTGAAAATTGTAACCCCCCCCCCCCACAAAACATCCACCCAGGATGAGTTACACACCAAAGTTTAATAAGTTTAATAATCCTTTATCACAATCTTAAGCAATAATAATAATAATAGTGAAGCTTTAATTATTTAATATAAATGTTATTAAAATTAAAAAAAAATTTTTTTTAAAGGCATATGTTGTCAGAAATGTTATAGTTACAATATCTCTATTTTCCTTTCAATAAATATTTTTTGTATCACAGTAGTTTACGTCCTGGTATATCATGTGCTTTTCATCATGTTCGTGTGGTCATACTGGCAAACCATCTTCACAAAACCTATGAACCCACTCAAAGAGGTGAGTATTTTTAATTACGGAAATAAGTTATTTATTAATAGATATTCATTTCATAGTAAACATTATGAGGAATGAATAGAAGACACCTGAAGAGACTAGACTGTGGTCGTCTCCAAGTAAGAAATCAATTTAAATGTTATTGCACAGCATATACTCAGCATGATTTATGAGGTGTTGGCTTATAATGGATATTATTTCCTGCAGGCAGAGATTACTATGTAATATTTGTAAATATATGGTATAACTCCCATTAGGATGAGTCGTTGGTTACACGTATTGAAAAAAACCGCATGTTGCGTTGTAAATCGCATGCGATTGTTGCTGTAACTATAGCACCTCACTGCAAGCGGTTATTATTTCAAGTCGAGAGAATGAGAAACAAACTGAAATAGAGAAACCACATATGGCTCATACTGGCAATCAGTCATACTCCTCTCACATCTCTGAGTGCAGAGCGTGCTGCTTGTCACACAGATCATATCAAAATGTTTTGGTTTTCGTCTGTTCCTTTCAGTTCCACCTGTCACATTCTGACAAAGAGCTATTAGAGCGTGAAGATCGGAGAGAATCTCAACAAGAGATCTTGAGGAGAATTGCTAAGGATTTGCCCATTTACACACGCACAATGTCTGGAGGTGGGCACTTTTCTTTAAGTTCAGCACTTCCTAATTGTGCCACGGTTAGCAGGCCAAGTTTGTAACAGTCCATTCAGCCCAGATTTAGGTTCAGTAACAAATAATGGTCACAGACAGTTACATTTGTTTCAATCTGTCTTCAGTGAATCCTATCGATCTGTGTTTTAACAAGCTGTCTTGATACAGCTATCCGCTACTGTGATCGCTGTCTGCTGCTGAAGCCTGATCGATGTCATCATTGCTCTGCCTGTGATATGTATGTCTTCTCTCTCTTTTTTTTTAAAGACACAACACATATTAGATTTTGCTGTGTTGTATTTTACCAGCTCCTCCCTCTGCTGTTTTACAGGTGCATTTTAAAGATGGATCACCATTGTCCGTGGTATGTACTGGCTCAGTAGATTAAATGCAAAGCAAGAATAAAAAGGGTTTTGTCTCGGAAGGAGCACATGCACCAAACATTTCTGGGATTCTATTAGACCAAGAAAACAATCCTTTTTTTTTTTCTTCAATAAACAATATTCAGTTTTGTCATTTAAAGGTACACTGTTGCATTTTTGCTTGAAATATAAACATTTTGTTTGTATGATCTGCTTAGGCCACACTGACAGTTTAGAGGTGAACCTTCATGCTTGCACTTTTTTGTTTTCAAAAAATTGTACGTTTCTGTACAAATCACATCATATTCAAACAAAATCATACGTCATTGTTACCATAATAAACAAATTAAAATGTATAAATAAATAGTACATTTTAGTATTTATAAATGTTATGCTTCAACTGCAAGATGGGCAAAAGTTACATTGTGTAGCTAGTAAATAGGCAATACTATAAAAATGTTTTAAGTCAAAATTATTATTTAAATGTACTGAATCAATCTGATTACACTACATTTTACAGAAAACATTAGGGTCAAGAAAGGTAACAACTGCACATTTTCCCTTGTTCCAGTGTATATTGGGCAGTGTTTTTCAATCAAAATAGATATTAATATCCAATTTTATTGAGGCTAATAGATGCTTTTTATCTTCTTTGACAGGGTAAACAATTGCGTGGGCTTCGCCAACTACAAGTTTTTCATGCTCTTCCTAGCATATTCTTTGTTGTATTGCCTCTTCGTCACTGCCACTGACTTGCAGTATTTCATTCAGTTCTGGACTGTAAGTATGAATTATTAATTTCTTCGGCTTATATGAGGAAACAGAAATAATTTTGAATGTGCAGATAGGCTGTCTGTAATTTAATAGAACACCAGCCCGAGCAATATCATGTTTTGATCATTGCTTTTCAATAAAAAGTGTGTTTTTATTTTGAAAGGTTGATGGTAAAACACATGATCGTCTAATCCAGTATTTGGTAGGACTGAGTCAATCACAGACATTATTGATGTGCTTTGATTGACTGACTTATTCCTTGAGTTCCAGTAGTTTTGATCGTTTCCCTTAGCATAACACTTTAGCTTTTGCAAATTCTGTTAGATCCAGTAGACAAGCAAACATAGGAAAAATTGTCCGTAGGGACCATGTATCCCTCTTCTGCTTGCTCCTGCTTCTTCAGTTAATTTTTTTCAACCTTTACGATGTGAATTGAGTGCTCCACACATATTATATTCTGTAAAAATCTATATATCAACTAGCTTAAATTAGGCCCAGGCTGTCTTTTGTTTGTTTGTATGGCGGTTTGTGGTGCATTTAGAGTCTTTCCCGTGTTTCTCACAGAATGGTCTGCCTGATACCCAAGCCAAGTTTCACATCATGTTCCTGTTTTTCGCTGCCTCCACGTTCTCAGTGAGCCTAGCGTTCTTGTTTGCTTATCACTGCTGGCTTGTCTGCAAGAACAGATCCACCTTGGGTGAGTGGGCTGTGCTTTAATTACCCTTGGATTTCAGTAGTAAACACGGGCTCATCATTAGTGTGTATTATGCTTTCTGTGATCGTCTGTCCGCGCACTGCCTGATCAAATACGTCTCATTCATCCAGTGGCTCAGATCTGGGGCAGGTGGTGTTTAGGTCTTCTTGCAGTCTGCCCATTGTGGCAGATCCTCAAGGGAACATGTATCTGTGACAACATGCCCAGTCTTCTGGCAAAAGCAAGGGTGTCAAGACGCATAAGTTGAAAATGTTGAAAATTAATCTCAGCAACAGACATATTCTAGTCTTAACCCTGTGGAACCTACTGTATCATATTTGATATGTGAATTTCTAAGGCCTCTAAACGATTTACATGATCAAAGCTTTACTGAAAAACCAGCTGTACACAATCTATCACTTGTTTCAGTCATCTGATGAATAGTTTATACTTTTTAGCAAGTAAAAGGCTTTTTAGTATAATTTAAAAAATGTCACCCTTCCAATCTGTGGTTCATGTGTCTTTTTGCTATGAAAATTAGTGTTTATTTAAAAAAAAAAAATTTTTATAAAGTAAATGTAAGAATAACTTTTCTATTGTTTGTAATAAGATGAACACTTACTGGGCTGAAGCAACTTGATTATCCATACATAATATCACATATGTGACCCTGGACCACAAAATGAGTCATAAGTCGCTGGGGTATATTTGTAGCAATAGCCAACAATATATTGTATGGGTCAAAATTATTTTTTTCTTTTATGCCAAAAATCATTAGGATATTAAGTAAAGATCATGCTCCATGAAGATATTTTGTAAATTTCCTACCGTAAATATATCATAACTTAATTTTTGACTAGTACTATGCATTGCTAAGAACTTAATTTGGACAGCTTTAAAGGCGATTTTCTCAATATTTAGATTTTTTGGCAACCTCAGATTCCAGATTTTCAAATAGTTGTATCTCGGCCATATATTGTCCTATCCTAACAATCCATACATCAATGGAAAGCTTATTTATGTAGCTTTCAGATGATCTCAATTTCATGGAATGGACTCCTTTTTTTGGTCCAGGGTCACGTATAATGCATTCGGTTTTTGAGTAACATTTATTTGTATATCTCTCAGTCATTTAAATATCATATTACTAAGACGTATATTATTGGGAGATATACAGTGACAACTGATATTTAAATGCATTTTATGTTTGCTATAGAGTTATAAAGATCAGGTTGATGTACATTACAAGCTATCAGAATTTCATCTTACTTTTTGGCCATAGATACATCAGCAATTGCCCCAAATTGCATATTTTTGCTTGGTTTGGGCTTTTGAATAAAACTGGTGTTTTTTCCTCCTAGAGTATGAGCTTCATGTTATCCTATAAAAGCCTGATGTATCAAATATGATTTTTTTTAGATTTTATAAAATATTTAGTCTAAAGGTTCAGTATACTGTTCTATATATATATATATTTTTTATTTTATTTTATTTTTTTTTTATTTTTTTTTTCTGACTAATATTTCATATTTTAGGCTTTACAGAATTCAATGTTTAGAGAAAATAAAATAAAAATCATGTTAGTAGGTTTGTATATGAAGCATCTTTATGTATTTATGTGGTTTAAATGTTTCTCTCGTCAGAGGCTTTCAGAGCTCCTACATTCCAGCACGGACCAGACAAGAACGGCTTCAGTTTAGGAACAAGCAAGAACTTTTGCCAGGTGTTTGGAGATGAAAAGAAATACTGGCTGTTGCCTGTTTTTTCAAGGTATCAGTTATTGTCCAGTAGCACTGAAAGCATTGGTGTGAGTGTTCTGTGATCTCATTCCCTCAGCATCACATTGTGTTTCTGCAGTCTGGGCGACGGCTGTTCATTCCCCACATGTCTAGTGAACGCAGACCCCGAACAACCCTCCTCTCCCTCTGGACGCAACCCTTCAATCAAAAGGTTCATGGCTCAGAATGAATGATTAATTTAGGAAACTGAGTTGTATCACAAAAATGTTGCAGATATTACACTGTAAAACCTAACAGATGTCCTAACTAACACTTTTTAGTTGACTTTACGTAATGTACAATTGGTTGATTTTAATTGTAATCTGCACTATTAGCATACTATGTCTTTGTTACTCAGTAAACCCCAGTTAAGATAAATTGATTGTTATTTGTACCATTATGTCAAGCTAGTTTATAGTTCCCAGCACGCTTTGCTTCAGAGGAATAAATGTTGAAATTAACTGTTATTTTATGTGTTCTTGCACAAGATTAATATAGGGGGAGATCTGTTAGTGTTTAATGTTCTGTTTTGTTTGGTTTCTGTTATGTCTGTATTTTTGGGGCTTATTGTGCTAAGGAGTAGAGGCTGTGGTTAGGATGAGGATGGGTCTATAAACATTAAGACTACTATAGTAGATTACTATAGACTGCTTTATTCATAGAATGAGTGCTATTGCTAACTGGACAGTTGAAGCACTTAATTTACGCCAGTTACACTTCCTTGATCTTTGTAAGGTTTGCATGGTTTTAACAATGAAATTGGATCGCTGTTCAAGTGAATACAACAGAGAAATTCTAGGTTTGCAGTGAATGTTACATTACTTAGCTCAACTTAAATAAATGAGTTAAATTTTAATACACACATAGTATATTTAACTTAAAATGAATTAGTTATTGAAACTAAAATGTCTTTTTTTACTTAAAAATTTTACATTGCAATCAAACAATGAGTCAAGAAAAAAATTTGTAGTAGATATTACTTCTGCTTCCAATGTCACAGTAGAAATGCACATTGCATTGTGGGATACTGTATTGATGATATGCAGAGCCTTCTATTCATGCCTTTTTCATTCTTTTCTAGCGCTGGAGAATCCCATCAGTTTCCACCTAAACCTCTGAGAGAGTCTCAGAGCCGACTGCTGAATAACGGACAGTCAGAAGGAAGTGAAGACAGAGACAAGCGAGGTGATGCATCACATCTGACATCAATACACAAAACAATTTGAGTGTTCTGTGTACCTTGACTAGAGATATAAGATAAATTTACAGTTATGAATGTGTATTACAATGTGGTCAAACAACATGGTGCTCAGTCCGTATTTTTCTAACAGGTACGAGCAACCCAGCCTTGACTATTGAGAAGGAAACTTAGGAGCACGTTAATGAAACAGGTTAGTTACTTTTGTGTGTACTTAGTGCTATAGCATATGACTTATTTTCAGATAGTAAAACTTTGAAGTATTTCAAAATTACAATAATGTAACATGCACTACCGTTTGGGGTCAGTTTTGACCGCTAATGCGCTCCAAGTCTTCATCGATTTGATTAAAAATACAGAAAAACAATAATATTGTGAAATTTTTCTGGATTCTTTTAAGAATAGAATGTTCAAAAGATCAACATTTATATCAAATGGAGATATTTTGAAACATTTATAAATGTCTTTACCATCACTTTTAATTAATGTTATTTATTTTTTAAATATAACTAATTATATTACATTACATTACATTATATTATTGGAATCCCTGAATGTCTTAATAGCTTCTTCTAAATTAACTGACTTTCTTTCTCTAGGAGTTTAGTGCTAGTGATGTCTGTTGTCAGTGGAACAGTGAGGACGTCTCCGCTGCTCTTGCACAGACTTGCGCTGCCCATCTACTCTCTACCTAATGAGTTGTGATCCTTCACAAGAGCTCACAGTGCAGGATTATGCTGTGTACTGTACATATATGAAGGGCCACAGAGTCTCTCGTCCTTCTTGCAAACTGTATGGCTATCTTAACGTGCCTAAAGATGCCCACAGATGTGGCTGAACATTTGGTAACATCACCGTGGTTCCTGCAAGACCCACATTTTAAAAAATGTAGAAGTTTGTATGGTAAATGCCTTGAATATAGCTTGCGTGGTGTAGGCAGTGCTGAAGAAGGTGGCGTTTTTGTTAGTCTGGAAAATGTAAAGTATTTATGCATGCTGTGTGATGGTGGTATGTAGTCGTTTGTCACGTTTGAAATGTGAACAATGAAAAGCCCAAGTGCTTTTGCACTAGACTTCCTCAAATTTGACCCTGTTTTTGATCCTGCATTGTTGAAATGCAGCAGCATCTCTTCATTTTATTCATTACCATACAGATACATTTGCACATCGTGACTATAATCTGTTTTATTTGACAAAGTGTCAGTGAGGATCTTGTCCATCACATTTAAGTCTGGATCCCAGCTGTCATGAATTTTGCAAAGGTCGTACACAGGCAAAATGACTGATGTAGCAAATATTTTAGGCCATTTTTAGTACTGGATATTCAGACAAAAACACTGTTTATTCAAGTTTTTACCTGACAAGCACAGGGAAGACAAAACTACTCTATATGCACTTTGAACAGCGCTTAAAGCTACAAATTATTTCAGTTTTTAAATCGTCTTTGTCCTGATGTTTTCTTGATGGTTCTGTCGAATCAAGTATGCAAAGTATATAATGTATTGTTAACTCCATATACATTATTACACTGATGCTGCAGAGAATATTTCACCATTAATAGTCAGTGTATTTGATTATTCCGAACATACTTTTCATAACCCTTTTTGCACAATTAATGCAAAACTTAAAGATGTGCTTTTGTATCATATCTGATTTATCTAAGGGCTCTGATAATGTACTTACTACCGTATTTCTTATCTCAGTTTGATTCAACATTTATTGCATGTAAATGTAAACGTACTTGTACTTGATTTTGACTGAGGCGTGAACCTCAGAAATGCCAAGACTTGTGGTGTGTTGTCTGTTTTGTAGTTTTTATGGAAATGTCTGTCGTTTATTTTGTGATTAGGTTCACACACCACATTAAAAATAAACTGTGATACAAGGTTTCTACTGGTTCTTGCTTTTGTGTATGTAGACCAGCCGATTGTTGTTGCTGCTTTTGTTTTGTTTTTTGAGTATGTAAAATTCTGCTGGCTATCTGTGTTGGTAGCTTAACGTGTTTTCATATAAAGTATGATAATGCCATTGAATGATATGCCTTGATGAGTGTTACTGTAAGAGAAATAAAGTGATATTTTATTAAGTGCTACAGTGTTTCGATATTGTTTCAAACTGTGTTACAGCACTATATTTATAGCATCTGTCCATTAAAGGAGTAGTTCAGCCAAAAATGAAAATTTGCTGAAAATTTACTCAGCCTCAGGGCCATCCAAGATGTAGAAGAGTTTGTTTCTTCATCGGAACTGTGAAATTATCGGAAATGTTTTCATCAGCTGTTTGGACTCTCATTCTGACGGCACCCAT